AGGTGACTAGATTATATAATAGTAAATACAACACATCATTACAGGCATAATATGGAACATGGAAGCATGTTATATAAAAAAAAAATAGAAAAATACGACACGGTCGTAACACCGTCAGCCGTGTGCAGTGGGAGTCCTGCTGTGTGCCGTGTGCTGTGGGAGCCCTGCCCTGGTGCAGTAGGAGTACTGCCGTGAGCCGTGTGCTGTAGGAGTCCTGCTGTGGTGCAGTAGGAGTACTGCCGTGAGCCGTGTGCTGTAGGAGTCCTGCTGTGGTGCAGTAGGAGTACTGCCGTGAGCCGTGTGCGGTGGGAGCCTGCTGTGGTGCAGTAGGAGTACTGTATATACAGTAATACCTCGGTTTACGTGGTTCTCGTTTACGGGCTTGATCATTTACGCGGTACCTTGCCAGAAACGGGATGCCTGATTTACACGGTGAATTTACTCATTTACGCGGGTGAAGTATAATTTGTTTCTTTACTGACAATATTTGTTTTAGCTCATAAAATTCATACAAATTACCCGGCCAGAATATAATTTACACTGCTGGAATTCTTGTAAGATTGTGATTATTTTGGATATAAACATCATGGAATTTGCATTAGACATACAAATTTTAGATCTAATGTAAGAATTTTGATTACAAAGAGCCAACATTTTATTTTTTGTGCAAAATATATAACGCTTATATTCAAAATATTCCCTGTCCCGCAAGGAATCCAGCAATGTCAATTATATTATCCTAACTTTAGTCTGAGGTATTATTTATTACTAAAAATGTAAGCCTAAATTTTCACCCAAACATTTCTCTGGTAGGAAGGGAAGATGGGGGGTAGGGAGGGAGGGAGGGAGGGAGGGACCCAGCGAGGGTGGGAAGAGGGGGGGGGGCGGAGGTGGGGTATTTTTTTTTGACAGATAGTGTCTGGGTGAAGTATAATTTGTTTATTTACTGAAGATATTTGTTTTAGCTCATAAAAGTCATACAAATTACCTGGCCAGAATATAATTTACATTGCTGGAATTCTTGTAAGATTGTGATTATTTTTAATAAAAACATCATGAAATTTGCATTAGACATGCAAATTTTAGATCTAATGTAAGAATTTTGATTACAAAGAGCCAACATTTTATCTTTTGTGCAAAATATATGACATTTATATTAAAAATATTCCTGGTCTTGCAAGGAGTCCAGCAATGTCAATTATATTATCCTAACTTTAGTCTGAGGTATTATTTATTACTATATACCTTAAAATCTAGTGGTTTACCCAAACATTTCTCAGAGAGGGAGGAGCCAGCGAGCATGGGAAGAGGGGGGGACGGGAGTTGAGTCTATTATTTGAATGGACATTAACCTGGTGACTGTATTTCTCTTAAATATTAATTGTGTGTGCATACTATCATAAAATTAACATGTTATTTTTACTACACGTAGGTATTGTGTTGGTATTGTGTCGGAAAAAGTGGAGTTTGGGAGTTTGAGTTTGCCCAGTCTCTATTTCAATTAATCCCATATGTTCTGTTATTCCATTTACGCGTTTCTCGTTTTACGCGCTACTCCGCGGGTTCAATTGACCACGTAAATCGGGGTATTACTGTATATACAGGTAGTCTTCGACTTACAACCCACTCGTCATACGACCATCCGGACATACGACCATCTGGACATACGACTGCCTCAGTCGTACCAAATTTTTTTCAAACTCTGTGCGTATTTTCTAGGACCAAAACGTTTCCGTCCCATACAAGAGCGTCGCGTGGGCTGGGTCGCCACATGGTGTACAGAGTCAATGTTGTAGCGCGCTCAGTTAGTGTTTGGCTGTCGTTGTTGTTCGTAATGATCGCGCTGTGTACTGACAATATTTTCGTTTCTAATTCCCTTTAGAATGACTGGAAAGCATAAAAGTGAGAGTTCTGGTGGTGCTCAGAAGAAAAGGAGACAGTCAATTACTTTTGAGATGAAAATGAATATAATAATGATATATGAAAATGGAAAAACGGTAGCAACCATTTCACGCGACCAAAGCTTCTCTCACTCAATGATATCAACAATTTTGAAGAAGGAACGAATTTGTGAGGTAGTGAAAGGATCAGCACCTATGAAGGGAACAATAATAACGAAAAAAAGACAAGGTCCTATTCATGAGATGGAAAAATTACTTGTGGTGTGGATGGAAGACCAGATACAAAAGCGTGTACCCTTAAGCCTTCTAACAGTACAGGCTAGGGCAAGAAGCCTTTTTGAAAGCCTGAAAGAGCAGGCAGGTGATGAGTGCGACCAAAACTTCACAGCAAGTAATGGGTGGTTCCAAATGTTTAAGACACGTTACAGTTTGCACAGTGTAATGGTGAGTGGTGAGGCAGCAAGTGCTGATGTGGGTGCTGCTGAAGCTTTTAAGGAGCTAGATCATTCTCATTGTGGAGGGAAATTATTTGCCTGAGCAAATATTTAATGTGGATGAAACTGGCTTATTCTGGAAGCGCATGCCAGAACGGACATCCATCCACAAAGAGGAGAAAAGCATGCCAGGATTAAAGGCATTCAAGGACCGAATCACACTTCTGTTGGGGGGGGGGGGGATGTAGCTGGTTTCATGATATACCATTCAGAGAACCCAAGGGCTTTTAAACATGTCAGCAACCACACACTGCCAGTGTTTTAGCACAGTAATAAGAAAGTATGGATGACCCTAGCACTGTTTGAGGATTGCTTCCAGAGTTGTGTCATTCCACGAGCCAAGGAGATTGTTTGCAACAAGGGGTTGCGTTCAAGATTTTATTAATTTTAGATAATGCTCAGGGACACCCACCACACCTGGAAGACCTGCACCTTGATGTTAAGTTAGTATACCTTCCACCTAACACTACCTCTATCATCCAATCCAATTGCTGCTTTTAAAGCGTATTATTTACATACGACCTTCGCTCAGGCTGTTGCTAATACTGAGGGTGAGAAAACGCTCAGAGAGTTTTGGAAGGAATACAACATTTTGAAATGTACAAAGAACAGAGCTGCATAGTTACAGGTCAGTGCATGAATGGAATATGGAAGAAAGTCCTGAAAAGATATGTGAACAGTTTCAAAGGATTTAATGAAGATAAAGTAATTTCTGAGATGAGTAACAAGATAGTGGCATTGGGTAAACAGCTGGAGTTAGAAATTGATAATGAAGATGTTAAGCAGTTTGGTGAAAGCGTAGCAGAAGAGCTAAGTAACGAGGATCTTATCGAACTGGATGCTCAGAAGGAAGAAGAGTCAAAATGTAGAAGAAGAACCTGCACCTCCCAAAGAATTTTCAGTGAAACAAATGGCAGAGGCATTTGCTACTATTAATAAGGGGATGCACATGTTTGACAAAATGGATCAAAATGTTGAGCGTTTTACAAAAGTTGACAGACTGATCCAAGATGTACTTCCTTGCTACAGGGAGATTTACAATGAAAAGAAAAGGCAAACTGTAAATTCTAAATTGGACATATTTTCTAAGAATTCCCCCACTGCTGTCTCCTCATACCCCACCACTGCTGCCTTTTCCTCCTTAAAGATGATCCAATACCTTCAACAAGCAAGTATGTTTGCCTATCTGAAGAAAGTGAACTTGATGACCCACCCAGCCCTGTCTCCATGCTTAATGAAAAAATTATTGAGGCCCCGTGTGCATTCAGCTGACTACATTAAAGGCAAGTGCACAGTAACACTTTATTAATTTTTCACAACCGATAACTTTTACTGTACTGTATTTCATTTTAGAATTTCTATGTATTATTTTTGCCTTTTCGACTTTCGACCAAATTGACTTACAACTGGTCGTCGGGACGGAACCCCGTCGTAAGTCAAGGAGACACGGTATATGGGTACTAACTGTCTCATAAGTTGGGTACGAATTATCTCGTAGTCGGGTAAGAGTTGACATGTTCTGATGGGTACGATTTGCATGGGTATGAGTTCTCCAGCACCCCATGCTCATTAGACATAAAAAGTAATATACTACCCTGTATTAATAACTTTGGTACTACCATTTTATATAAAATTGTTAAATCAATTATCAAAACTTAATGGAAACCCATTTAAGGGTGATTATACTGCAGCAACTTATATTAAGTAGAATTTGTATTGACTTCGGTTCCAATGAGGAGCCATTAGAATTGACACACACTACTACAGGGTACTAAATTAAAATACTACTACTACATCTCTCAACACAACACAACATAATGATTTTCATCAATGAATGCAGTATATAAGTGGCAATTAGGATGCAGTAATCATATTTTAATCATGTTTTTTCACTAGTTTTATTCCTGTTTTCCATGATTTTGACATTTATCTTTGGGGCAAACCACTTTTTTGTTAGGTTAGGTTGGTTCCCTTTGTATGAGAATAGGATTACGTTAGGTTATGTTGGTTTGTTCCTCTGGTGTGAAATTAAGTTATTTTTGGTGTATTACTCAAATCTGACCTTCATTTTTTGTGCTAATTAAAATTTGTTGCAAAAAATGTACATTTACATTTTAACGAAAACCGCTATTTTGCACAAAAATGGGGGTCAGATCTGAGTAAAACAAACCAAAAATAACTTATTCTCATCCCATAGGAACCAACTAACCGAACCTATTCTCATACCAAAGGAACCAACCTAACTAAAAAAAAAAGTGATTTGCACCAAAGATTAATGTCAGAATCATCTAAAACAGCAAGAAAACTAGCGAAAAAATATATTCATGTGAAAAAAGGTGATGGGTGGATAACGAAAAATAACCACAAATATTATGACTTGCTTATGATTACATAATAATAGCCATCATTTGATTAATAATCAGGTAAAGGTGTAGAAGAGGGTGACCACCAGGAGGAATTGTCCAAACTGGATGAAATTTTTCAACACTAATAACATGATATTAAACACAAAATGGAAAGGACATGCATAGAACCTAATATTTACTGTATCCTGCTTCACAATTCTTCTCCCGGCACCATTTTTGTTGTTTACCTCTCTGAATACCTGTTCAAGAGACGTTTCCTAAATGATGGTGAACGCTTCCACGTATTCCTCCTCACCATTGCTGGTGTATAACAACCTCAATATTAGGGTAAGTTGTTTAACATATAAATTAACACGATAATGCATAGAACCAAATAGAACCTGACCTAACGTCACCGCGTTCATTCCCATCAATATATATAGTACGTACATGAAAATAACTTGCCTGGGATAGAACATAATAAAAAACACTATGACAATTTATTAAAGACGAAAATAAAAACTAAAAAGGTAATTATATAGGACTAACCCGCGAGCGATATTGATTGAGAACAACCATAAAAGCAACGGATTTTCAATGTTATATTATAGTGGACACTGTTGTAGTTTGTGGAATTATGTTAAAAATGGATATTTTTAAAATAACACATACTTAACATTTGTGGGCATGAAGAACAGACTTAACCAACAAACCAAACAAACCTACTTAACCTTACCTAACTTCCCCAGTATATTAAACAGAAAGAACTTACTATGATATGGTGAAATTTGAGGCATTTTCTGGACGTGAGATAATACGGCCACATCGATGCTATGCAGCCCTGGCGGGTTAGTTTCTTATATTAACCAATAAAAACATTGTTAATATGCCAGCAATGATCTCACCGCTCGGTGGTTTATGCGCTGGTGCCAAAATCACCTTCATTTGCTCTGTACAGTATTTTGTTTATTTACCAATGTTGCATCGTTTTCTTCACTATACAATTAATATTCATGCAGAGTATTAACAATAAATCTTCATTGTTCTGCATTTGGTTTATTTACCAATGTTTTAATAGTTTTCTTTATTAAATAATTAATATTCATGTATAATAACACAATACTTCTAGAGTCGTCTGTAGACATGTTTAATCTCTATTCTTGTAAAATAATAACTTACAATTTATCACTAATACCAGCAACTGTTAGTGGTGACAAAACGGATTTGTTATTGGTGACGAAATGGAGTGTATCCCTGGTGCATATATGGTATAAGCAAAACGTGTTCATACTCAATGAAAATAAATACTAGTATACTTACTTAAACCCCTGTAATCTCTTTGAAACCATTTAAATAATTTGGAATTTTATATATTATGCGGGGTATATAAATCTATCCAATTCATCAGTGGGTATTATTGCGTTTAAACATTCCCACTTACTACCGCTAATCTATAATCATATTCTAATAAGACGTCCAATTACAAGATCATTTTCATCTATTACATTACAGCCGGAAATGTATATTAACGGAGATAGGAAATCCAAAATTTTCTTGATTTTTTCTAAAATCTTCGGCCATTTAAGGCGTACTTCACCTTTCACACTGCGTGTCTCCTGCGCGTCTCCTTCATAAATCATCATGCGCATGCGTTCCCGTACACGTCACGCGACCAATCAAAAGCCTTTTTTTTTGCAACCAATTAAAATGATTTTGGGTTTAATTCGCGGTATTTTTGGACCAATCAAAATCGATTTTTATTTTGGGTCTCTCATATTTCGAAATTCAAGTTCAGGAAGCCTGTGATGTGTGTCACTTAAACTGTATGGAGCTGATTGCGAGTTTTTGGGAAGAAAACGAAGAAACTACAGTATAGCATTTTTTTGATCGCATGGTGTTCTCCCAACCTCAGTAAAGTGTACTAAGAGCAAGACTGAATGTAAATATCGCAAAGACCAACATATGTGGCGTTGTGTAAGAATCTCAGAATCCAACGACGAGCAAGAACCTGGTCTCCAGGCCAACTAAGGTAAGAAATAGGTGATTCCAAAATATGGTGAGAGTAAGTTAGGTCAGGTTAGGTTAGGTTTTTCTAGTGTTTTGGTGTATTTTTTATACGGTTAGCGGTTTTTTTTTGCGGTCTCGAAAAAAAAATCGATAAAAAAACAGGCGAATTTCCAAAGGAAATGAAGGTCATATTCGGTCGAAACACACATAAATACACTAGAAAAATATATTTTTAACTTTCTAACATCGGGAGGTGGAAGTGCAAATTTACCCATCAGTGTTTGTGAGCTACAGAAAGTTAACAATGGCAGAACAACGAAAAACATGCTCTGAATTATATTCATCATTTAACTACTCTAAATTCATGAATCCAGATATATGATTATTTTTACCCTTACTACACAAGAAGATTAACATGTCCAAGTACTACCTTTGATGAAATCCAGTCCAGAAAAAGAGAAGTGGCGAGAATAATAGCAGACCGATAAGTTCTTCCAATGTCTCACTACGTGTTTACTGTTTAGACGACTGGCACCAATGTTGCCAGGTTTACTCGGCCAAATTTCCCTAGGAGGGCCCTCAAAATTTCCCTTTTTAACATGAAATTTTCCTAGGTGTCTATACCATTGGCATTAAAATATTGTTAACACTTTTTTGTGAAGAATTATGGATACATCTAGTATATGAATGTCTAAACTATTAAAATTAGCGATAATTAAAGAGGAGATACATCTCGTACCTCACAAATGGTGACCCCCGGAGATTCGCACTCACACAGGATGGAGGAGAAACCGATCACTCTCCCAGTTGCATGTACCATGCAACACTGCAGACAACAAGTCCCCTACACCGCCTTGAGGGAAGGAGGGAGTATTGTAGTGGATTCCTCCCCTACAAACGCTTGTCGCTGAGTAGCCGCACCCGCGAATTCCCCAGTGTATGCCTCGTGGTCTAGGTCAACCAGCGCCGCCTTATATGACGTAGGTCAACTATTAAGCCACGCCTACCTCCGCTATATAAGACCTGACCTCGTGGTGATCTGTCTCTTTCTACCTACAGCCGCAGCCAGCAACACCTCCTCCTCTGCAGCTGCCTGGCGGCCCTCGCTCTTCCGCCTGCCTGGCGGTCCTCTCTCCCGCTGGCGAGCATGGCGACCCACAAGCTGTCCTTCTCTGAGCGTCCTCACCAACCAGCTCTCTCTAGATCACGCTTGTAACCATGCTGCCTTCCCAGCACCAACCTGCATTGTACATCCAATACAACATGTATATAGAGAGCACATTGTGAGTTTCCTTTCTCCATTCCATCCTGAGTGTGAACCAAACATCTCATACCCCACAACGTGATCCACATGAACATACCTCAAAGAGTTACCACATTTCACTAAATATGTCCTAGATCCACATACCTTGTCGATGGCACCAGTTATCCACTTTGCATGTACAATACCATAACCTTTAGCCATGTTCCTAACTCTCACCCTATCATTTACCTTGAACACTCTTTCACTGGAACTCTTATCATGATACATTTTTTGTTGAGCTTGTTTCCTCTCTACAACTTCAAACAGACTTGGCTTAACTAAACTTAATCTTGTTCTCAACTGTGTCTTCACCATTAACTCTGCAGGAGTACATCCTGTCACACTATGTGGCGTGGTTCTGTATCTGAGTAAGAAATTTGCTAGTCTGTTTCATTGATTTTCCTACAGTTCCTTGAATTACCTGCTTGGAAAGTGCTTCCTTTACAATTCTAACTGATCTCTCACCTGCACCATTAGAGGCAGGATGATAGGGTGGGGTCAGTACATGCTTTACACCGTTGAATCTCATGAAGTTTTTAAACTCTGATCATTGGAATGGAGGACCATTGTCAGAAACTACCTCTTCTGGTATTCCATGTTCGGCAAACATTAATCTTAATTCATCAATGGTGCTACCAGCATTAGTACTGTACATGTGCTTAACATCAATCCACTTTGAATGACTATCAATTAATACAAGAAATTTGTCTGTTCCCTTATCACAGAAGTCAATGTGTACTCTGTGGGGTATGAGATTGTTTGGTGTTCACTCAGGATGGAATGGAGAAAGGAAACTCACAATGTGCTCTCTATATACATGTTGTATTGGATGTACAATGCAGCTTGGTGCTGAGAAGGCAGCATGGTTACAAGCGTGATGTAGAGAGAGCTGGTTGGTGAGGACGCTCAGAGAAGGACAGCTTGTGGGTCGCCATGCTCGCCAGCGGGAGAGAGGACCGCCAGGCAGGCGGAGGAGCGAGGGCCGCCAGGCAGGAGGAGGTGTTGCTGGCTGCGGCTGTAGGTAGAAAGAGAGAGATCACCACGAGGTCAGGTCTTAAATAGCGGGGGTAGGCGTGGCTTAGCAGTTGACCCCCGCTCCGTGGTGTATGGCGGCGCTGGTTGACCTAGACCACGAGGCATACACTGGGGAATTGGTGGGGTCGGCTAGGCAGCGACAAACAGCGTTTGTAGGGGAGAATTCCACTACAATACTCCCCCTTCCCTCCAGGCGGTGTAGGAGACTTGTTGTCTGCAGGGTTGCATAGCACATGTGAGGCAGAACGGGCGGTGCGTGCCTCATGTGAGACAACGGCGATGGCGTGGATGAGCCGGTCGCTGGGGACAACTGTCTAGATACACAATATCTGTGGGAGTAGAGAGGGAGAATAAGGGTGTGTGGAGGCGATGAATGTTGTGCTTCCCTCACGGCAGGTACAGAGTCGTCAGATGCGCCTGCTGGGGTGTGTGGGCCTGGGTCAGGAGCAGGGGCTGCGTCAGCAGAAGCGGATGAGGGCTCGTGACAGCAGCTGGGTCCACAACAGCAGCAGGGTGCAGGACATTAGCAGGGAGTACCTGAGGGAGAAAAGAGGGGTGTGTGGGTCCGCACTCAGGAACAGAGGCCGCATCAGGGGCGGCAGGGGTTACTGTTGGGCCGGGGTCGGCGTCTGAGGCAGGACGGATGTGCTGGGGTCGGAAGAGGAGCCACTGTCTGCTTAGAGTAGCAGAGCTGCTCTAGGGTGTCTGACCTGCGGTGTAGAGACAGTGGCTGTAGAGCCGATGAGAGCTGCTTCTGGGTGGATAAGCCAGTCTTCCATGTTGCTTGAAGACTGGGAGCGTGATCAGTTTCTCCTCCATCCTGTGTGAGTGTGAATCTCCGGGAGTCACCATTTGTGGGGTTCAGGATATTTGGTTCACACTCGGGATGGAATGGAGAAAGGAAACTCACAATGTGCTCTCTATATACATGTTGTATTGGATGTACAATGCAGCTTGGTGCTGGGAAGGCAGCATGGTTACAAGCGTGATGTAGAGAGAGCTGGTTGGTGAGGACGCTCAGAGAAGGACAGCTTGTGGGTCGCCAAGCTCGCCAGCGGGAGAGAGGACCGCCAAGCAGGCGGAGGAGCGAGGGCCGCCAGGCAGCGGCGGAGGAGGAGGTGTTGCTGGCTGCGGCTGTAGGTAGAAAGAGAGAGATCACCACGAGGTCAGGTCTTAAATAGCGGGGGTAGGCGTGGCTTAGCAGTTGACCCCCGCTCCGTGATGTATGGCGGCGCTGGTTGACCCAGACCACGAGGCATACACTGGGGAATTGGTGGGGTCGGCTAGGCAGCGACAAACAGCGTTTGTAGGGGAGAATTCCACTACAACTCTTTGGAAGGGACGGCTAGGCCATTTCCAGGTTTTCAAAGGTGTGCTGGGTGGCATACTCCTAACATTCTGACAAACAGAGCACTCACGTACCATCATTTCTATTTCACCATCCAGTTTAGGCCACCACACAAAACTTCTGGCCAGTGCTTTCATAGCACATATACCTGGATGTTCAAAATGCAGTTCATTCAAAATTTGCCCTCTAAAACACTGTGGAATTATCACTCTCATACCCCACAACACACATCCCTGTTCTACTGATAATTGACATCTCCTTAAATGATACGGTTGAAAATCTAAGGATGGACAAATCTCTGGCCATCCATTTAATGTATACTCCAGGACTCTTCCTAATACAACATCTTTCCTAGTTTCATGAGCAATCATTCCGGAGGTGACTGGAAAATCTTCTGCTATCATGGTTACAGCATAAACCTTAGGCTCTACTCCATCATTTGATCCGCTACATGGCAACCTTGACAAAGCATCTGCATTGGAATGATCATCTGAACGTCTGTACTGTATCTCATAGTCATATGCCGACAATATCAAAGCCCATCTCTGCATTCTTGCTGCAGCAAGTGTAGGAACAGGTGGTTTAGGACCCAAAATTGCCAAAAGAGGCTTGTGATCAGTTATTAAAACAAAATTCCTCCCATATAGATACTGGTGAAATTTCTTTACTCCAAATATGATAGACAAAGCCTCTTTCTCTATTTGTGCATAATTTTTCTCGCTTTGGGTAAGAGTTCTCGAGGCATATGCAATGGGTCTTTCTTCACCGTTATCCATTATGTGACTTATGACAGCACCTAATCCATAGCCCGATGAGAAACGAGTCCACCCCGAATGACTTGAATAATCCTGCTACTCTTTTTGTAGAAACTCTGAGAGATAATTTTCTGTTCCAACATGTGAGAGACCCGACACATTACAGAGGGGAGCAAACACCCAAGCCACTTGACCTCATCATAACAAACGAGGAGGGTATGGTGGCCAAACTGGAACACCTTGCCCCAGTTGGCACCAGTCACCATACAGTGTTGTCATTCAGGTTTAACTGTTACCTAGTTCAAGATAAGGCCAGGCCAAGGTGCAAATATTACAAGGGAAATTACAATGGGATGAGGGAAGAGATGAGGGGTATCAACTGGCCTGACTTATTAAGGTACAAGAACGCAGACACTACGCTGAATATCATAACTAGTAAAATGACCCATTTGATCGATAAATATATACCCAAGACCAAACCCAGTGCTTCTAGGAATACGAGGGGATCCCTACACATGAACCATGCGGCGGTCGACAAAATTAAGAAGAAAACCCAGAAATTCAAGACGTGGGTTGGGTCAAACGATGAGCAAGACAGGAGGATGTATGCAAGAGCCAGAAACCAAGCAAAGATAGAGTGTAGGAGGGCTGAAAAGGAGTTCCAAAGGCTGGTTGCACGCGAGGTCAAGTCAAACCCAAAGGCGTTTTACCGCTATGCAAAGTCGAAATTGAAAACGCGAGTAGGAGTATCAGACCTGAGGCTTGAAGATGGTAGTTACGCAGATTCTGACCAGGATAAAGCTGAGGCATTGAACAGCTTCTTTTCCTCAGTGTTCACAAGAGAGGATGCAACTAACCTTCCTGCGTTTGAGGACAGACGGTTCGACACAGCACTGACCCACATTGTGTTCACAGAAGAGGGTATTAGAAATAAACTGTCCAGGCTAAAGGTCCATAAGAGTCCTGGACCTGACATGGTGCATCCTAGAGTGCTAAGGGAGCTGTGCAACGAGCTTGCAGAGCCCCTGAAGATTCTGTTTTGTAAATGCCTGGATGAACAAATGGTCCCCAGTGAATGGAAAGTGGCTTATGTG